GTGTGTGTGTGTTTGTGTAGATTTGAATTAGTAAGATTTATTGACGACAATCACATGATCACATGATCGTTTTGGTGCAATTCTTCATAAATTCCCATGACGTCAGAATAACTTCAATTAATAAATCAACCGATGACCTCATTGGGGTGATAACGATTCTCCAGATAAACCGTTTGAGTTCATACCTTGATTTCATTTTAGTTGTGATGGTTTTAAATGAGGGTGAATGATGTTCAAACCTCTCGTGTGCAGGGAGTCACATGGTCTAAGCAACTTTTTAACTTACAGTCATTAAAATGATCTGTTCACACATGACGCTGCAGCCGAGCGTCTGATGACCAGTGATATTAAACAAGAGGAGGACAGAGACGAACCCTCGATCTGAAGTGAGGGTTTTGTGATGAGTTCTAAACCCGACTGAAAGTCTTCATGTACATTATTGTTCAGGAGGAAGCTGCTGCAGAAACGTTCACTGAAATAAATCATGAAAACAGTTGAAGTCACAGCTGAATCCACCGGCTGCTGACGAGAGATTAACCTTAATGACCTCTGATCAAAATGATGGATGGAAAGCACACGCTGAATAAACCTGATCAGTCAATGTGAACTTTTTATTTCACATCCTGCACAATGATCGGTTCTGATTTAACTGGAGGGCGTGTCTCTGATCTAATTGGTTGGAAAAGTTAAAACATTAAACCACTATATGACATCATGATGACATCATTCCTTCATACGACCATAACTGTCATTTTCTGATGACTTCATGACGTCACTGATCATATGAAACAATCGATGTCTGATATCAACTTCAGGCTGAAGATATCTGCCCCCTGACTTGAATCTATAGTCTGTGTGTGTGTGTGTGTGTGTGTGTGTGTGTGTGTGTGTGTGTACCTGTTAAGGAAGGAGTTTCCGAACGCGTTGAGTTTCCTGAAGGGTTTTTTGGGGTCGACCACCAGAGCGTTGCCAGGGACGACACCTTCATTCTCGCCGTACATCACAGCAATGAAACCATCGGTGGTCGGCTCTGGACCGATCCTCATTCCCGGGAAGTCCTGCTCCAACAGGTACCTGGGGTGAGCGGCACAGACAGAACAGACGCTGTTTTTCATCGTTTCTCAGTTCTCATGTCATTATTCAGGGTTCTGTCCGTACGGCCCAAACTCTCAGTTTAGAGAATCTGTTCCTCTGAAGCCTTGAAATAAAAAATGGAATTCCTGTCCTTTCATCTAACGTCGACCTCGTCAACCTCTCACACTTTTCCCTGTTGGAGAAAAGTGAGAAAGGAAGGAAGAGATGGAAAATGGCTGCAGAGTCTCTGTCCTCTGGCTTCCTGTTGTCAAAGTCCTGACAGATCCACGTTTTCATGTTTTCCAGTCATGTTTTCACTGAGCTGCTGATCCACCAGGATTTTCACAGAGAGAGAGATTCTGTTATCAGACAGAGGCCGACTGTGACTCAGGTCGGGAGTTAACACCAGAAAACTCGGATCCTGGGATCAGTTTTCCTGCAGGAGCACTTTGCATGTCTGAGACAAAGACATCAATAAAAGCACGACCAACTCTTCTGCTGCAGCCACTTCATCCTTTTCGTTCTCATGTTAAAGTTCAATTATTTTCTGAGGCAGTGAAGAGAGGACGAGTTTGTCACTGTAACTCCGCTTCCGTCGTCGAGACAACGTCATATGCTAAAAATAAAACCTTCAGCTAAAGGTGCAGGAAGCTCATCAGCGTCAACATCAGCAGAAACGAAGAAACACAAAACCTTGTTTTAATCAAAAAGTAGAATGTGGCAAAGATACCAGAACGGTAACGACTCGTCAAATCCAAAGAAAAATATTCTGCAACCATGGTGATTAATTGTAAACTACGCCAAAGGTTAACGCCCCTTTGGGACCATTAGTATTTATATCTACATCTTTCATTTCAAAACTGAGCTCAGATGTTTATACAGCAGCTTCACACCCGATTCATAAATCTCATGTTTCCACCCGTCTTCTGATGGATCAGTCAGAGACCACGCAGCGGCCTCCTCGTGGTCCTGGAGCCGCTCAGTGGACCACCTTCAACTCTGCTGCTTTCACTTCAGTCAGAGAAGTAGAAGAAAATGAAATTGTCAAGTATGCACTTTACTGGAAATCTGTTCCCATGATTCATAGCATTCCTTGGGGCAGGGTGGGGCCTCAGTAGTGGCCCACACACACACACACACACACACACACACACACACACACACACACATCTTTATATGATCAGTGACAGCACATATAGATGATAAATAACTTTTTATTTTAGTTTGGTCCATGTCCAATTTGCCAACATGGAGGAGGCGGGGTTTATGACCTATTTTGCATCCAGCCACCAGAGGGCGATTACAGATGTTTTGGCTTCACAGCTGTTGCGATTTCCATCTTTATTTGCATTTAATGCAGCAGCAGCACAGGTTGAAACATGCAGACACAGATTATCCAGAAGGTCAGACACGACCTTCGTTTGACCTCAGTATAGCGGCAGAGAAGTGATTACGTCAGACTTCAGTGTGCAGGTCTCAGCTCGTCTCCGCTGTCGATGATCCAGGTGGAAATCATGACTCTGCTTCATGTCACCCGACAGGAAGCTTAATGCGATGGTGCAGCTCCCGACACTCGTCTGTAGTTCAGTCTGTATGTCTGTGCACCGTGAGCTGATAACACAATCTGAAACTGACGCTGGCCTAACGACAGAATCGTTCTGGACATTCTAGAATCTGCCGACACGTGTGAGGATTTTCACATGAGGTCTGCCTTAAACCTTCTTGTGAAGCTTGTGTAATGTGAACTGACTTCACACCCAGTTACCATCAGTCACGAATGAACTGGTTCAAACAAACCTGCTGCACCTGCACCCGATTCAACATTCAACAGTCAGAGGCTCTGTTCGACTTCTCCTTTAGTGCAGACACACAAATACAGTTTACTATCATCCTCAGTAAACCAACCTTCAAATACTGTAAGAGTGTGCGTTCATGTGTGTCTTTGTGTGTGTTGCTGTGTAGGTTTTAGCCTCTGTGCACCCCCCCCCCCACACACACACACACACTCTCTCTCCTCCCCTGAGTGGCTTTAACAGCGAGGGGGGGCGGGCAGCGTGTTGATCAGCTCTGTAACTCGTGACGACGTCTCAGCCTCCAGGCAGAAAACAGGACTTCAGCTGAGCTCATGAGTCCAGCAGATATAAATGAGATGGATGATTATGAGAAGCTTCATCTGAATCTGGAGAGAGTGGGACTTCCTGTTTGTCTCATTAACTTCAGTGCAGCTTCAGTCTTCATCTTCTCCCAGACTCATATGAGGTGACCTTTGACCTTTGACTGCTGAAATTTTATGAAATTCTTTCAAGTGAAATATTATGATGAGGAGGCCAAAAACAACGTTTTGTGAGGTCACAGTGACTTTGACCCTTGACCTTCAACATCGAATCAGTTCATCCTCTAGTCCAAGTGAAGGTTTGTGCCACATTTATAGAGATTCCTTCGAGGTGTCCTTGAGATATCTTGTTCACAAGAACGCGACGGACAACCAGAAAACAAAATTTACTATTTCCAGAGACTTTTCTGATAAAAGTGTTAAAATGTGTTTGTTAATTAATTTTGAATAAGCACTGAATTCACTGAGGCACAGAAATGATCCATGAAATGTGTCTCCAGCCATTTACTATGAGCCACACCTCAGAGAGCTGTTTGTATGGCTCCGTTAGATAAGGCAGCAGGGGTTCACACACACACACACACACACACACACACACACACACACACACACACACACCCCCCTCCAATGACGGGTTGAATTCTATGCCACAGAAACATTTTCAGGTTCTGAAGCTACAAGCAAAGTAAAATGATTCCACAGAATAAAGGGACATGCTGCGTGACTGTCCACAACAATGACAGATCAGTTACCCATGATCCACAGCACCTTTCACACGGAGAGCGCCACTCAAGCCTCTGTGCAAACTACAGTACCCATGAGCCTCAGCTGAATCCCGGAGCTGTGAACTTCACAAACATTAGGACAACATACACATGAGTCACATGAAGGTTTCCACAGCAGTGACCTGAGCTGTGCTGGAGCCTGACACTTAAAAAGCAGCTGGTTCAACAACTCTTCATTTCTGTCGCATATTAAATTAAATTTTGCTCTGACACTTTTATTTCCTTGTCCATTTTATATGATATCTGTTATAAAGTTCCACAAATAAAAGTGTAGGAGGTGAGAAAGAAAACCATGGTGCAATTAACATAAATCATACACAGTGTAAAACTACTGATAATATTGAAATGAACTGCAATGATGGAAATACATACAATCAATACATTGATGTGAACTTCATATCAACAAACGTCCACTTGTGTTGGCTCCAGTTTAAAGATCATTTCAAGACTTCAGTTCATTGATTCAAAAAAGACTTGAGATATATTTGGGAAAATCTTTAAGGAGAAATTTCATGTATTTGTGTATGTGACTGTAAATGAGCTCATCTTCATCTGTTTTCCCAACTTTAAAATGAAATGTCTTGTTATGATTAATAACTTTTATAGTTTTGTATTTTCTATAGAATCATTAGAGACAAGTCTTAGTCGTCGAATGCTCCATCTTTTCCTGCTCAGCTTTTCCTTGTGAACCGAGAGAACCAGGAACAGCATCTAAAATATTACTTTTCCTAAACGCAGATTGAATTTGGGGGATTAAACATTAGACGATCTCAACATCAGACCCAACACATTAGTTTGACATGTGGATTGATGTTCTTCCCCTTCAGTAAACTTCTCTAGAGGCGAGAGAGTGTTGAATGTTGAGGTTTTTAAATGAGGTCTGGTGTTAAAGTGGGTAAAGCTGCTTCCAGGGACGCTGTGTTTAACCCCCCCTCCCCCCTCCGGTGGGGCTCGTACCTGATGAAGGTGGTCTTCCCGGTGGAGTACTGTCCCACCAGCAGCACCATGGGTTTGCTCTGGAAGTCTGCGGCCTCCAGGGCCGGGGAGTGGAAGTCATGGAAGAGGTAGGTGTCCTCCAGCGGCAGCAGCTTCCTGGTGTAGAGGCTCTGCAGACCCTCGGTCACAGTCTGGTACATTTCTCCCTCCCTGCTCCGACCCTGCTCCTGCTTCACCCAGCTGAACATCACGCTGCTCCGCTGCTGCTCCGGAGATCCTCCGCTGGTTCCTCCGCTGGTCCTCGCTGGTTCCTCCGCTGGTCCTCGGTGGTTCCTCTGGTTCTATCTGCGGGACTCGACCTTCAGGCTCAGGAGAGTGCACGAGTGCGCGCGTCTGGGGCCGAGAACACACTGCCTCCTCTGTGCGTATGTGTCTGTGTGTGTGTGTGTGTCTGTGTGTGAGACCGCTGCTGGTGAGTGTACCTGAGGGCACCGCCCCTGTGACGCAGCATGGAGAGACACACACACACACACACACACACACACACACACACACACACACACACACACACACACACACACACACACACATTCTCTCTCTCTCTTACACACATGAACATTTATCTCAGTGAGGAAACTTAAACCTAAACTTTATTCTAACTCTGACGTTAATCAGGACCAGTTCATGACTAACCATCACTTCCTGTGTGGCGCAAGATTCTAAACCTGTTCCAAACATAACATGGAACAGGTTTGAGTCTCATCGAGTTTATCATGAACTGTTTCTCAGCAAATTAAAATATAAAATTTATAAAATTGAATTTTATACCAAAGCTCAACAAGAGAATCTACAGCTGTGATACCATGTCCAGAACTTTCAGGCTGCGATCTTCATCATTCAGGTAGTGAT